GCGATAGCTAATATTCTCACCGTAACTCATGTTGAAATTTAATCACCATCGTGAGGTATTAAGAAGTGGAGCAGGTGGGGGCTTCAGGGGTGACTCTGCTGTGAGTGTCCTGCTCTCATGAATGGATCAATCTGTTTAGGCATTAACACATTAGTGGGCTAATGGGCTATCATGGCAGTGAGTCTATTAGAAAAGCCAATTTGGGTCTAACTTTATGTTTTCCTCTTATCATGGGATGCCCTGTAAAGCCACAGCATCCTGTCGAATACTCATAGGTACAGCCTTAGTCCCTCCAACTGGACTCTTCAGCCTCCAGAAACATAAGCTAAATAAACCTATATACTTTATAAGTAATCCAGTCAATGATACTCAGTTATAGCAACTACAAAGTTTATAACATATGGTCAGTGCTATTATGAGAAGGAATTCATTCTTCAGTCTACTGTCCTTTCTCTTCTCTTGGAATCCATAATGGAGCCTTCACTGTTCCAGTCACAGAGTAGCTGCCACAGTTACATGCTGGTCTCATGAATGCCTGGATCCAGACTGATCCTGTAATGCAGGCTAAACTGAATCTTACCAGCTCTTATTACTGTGCCTTTGTGAGGCAAGGCCATGTGAATTAATAGCAATTCTGTAGCCTGAATTCAAATCCCAGCTTGCCACTTACTAGGTGGGCAATTTCAAGTAGACTAATAAACTCTTTGTGCCTCAGTTTCCTTACTTATACAGTGGGCATAATAATAGCCTTTTACTCACAGGGTTATAATGAGGTTTAAATATGTTTAAAACTACAAAGGGCAAGAGCCAGGTGTGGTGACACATGCCTTTAATACCAGCACTGAAGAGGCAGAGGCAGGTGGATCTCTGTGAGTTTGAGGCCAGCCTGGTCTACATAGTGAGTTCCAGGCCAGACCCTGTCTCAAAAAGACCAAACAAACAACAACAACAACCCCCCCAAAACCTATAAAGAACTTAAAACTAGGTCTTACATATCATAAAAATGTTTTATACATAAATTTATTCACTATCGAAAAATAGAGAAAGTGACATTCATATTTATTTGTCTTACAGTTTCATTGGTTGATTACATAGAATAATCCAAAGGAAAAAAAAACCTGCTGCAAAGGAAAAAGTCGCACACTGCTGCTGTCCCTGTGAAGTCCTTCAGACCTGCTCCACTGGATGAGCTCAGGGAACAGTTAAAAAGGAATTGATTTGAAGAATCTACCAGTTTAATAAATTTACTTACAGTTCTCTTTAGATCTTTAAGTTTTAAAAATATTATGTGTTTGTGTATGTGTGTGGCGGGGAGTGAGGCTATGCAAGTGAGTGCAGGTGCCTGAGGAGGCCAGAGGGCCAGATCCCCCTGGAATGAGTTACAGGTGGTTGTGCGCTGTCTGACGTGGATGGGAATTGATCTATCAAACTCAGGTTCTCTGCAAGAGCTATACAAGCTCTTAACCACTGAGCCATCTCTCCAGCTCTTATTTAGATTTTAAATGGCCTGATAATTAATATATGACAATTCTTTATGGGGTAGGATCATTGTGATTTTTACTTTGTTCCTTACATTTTTCTAAAATTCCCTATTTTTGTATAGTTGGGAAGTATTAGTTTTATAAATACATAAAATAAAAAAAATTTTTGACAAAGTTCTAAGAAATTTTGAAAGTAATTCATGGACATAAATTTTACATAAAATAAATACAAATAAATTAATTTTATATAAAATTAGTATATAATTGTGAAATGGGATTTCTGGACTTCTTATGTAACAGAGTGCAAAATATGAATATTGTGGGAACTGAGCCAACCCAGGCTGGTTGCGGTACAGCTGCTAAGATGGGTTCTTTTAAAATATGAAATACAACCAGCAGGTAGAAAATGGTTTCAGAGATGGCTGTTCCTTGAGGGGAGATGATGGGCACTTGAACAAATAAAGGGCTATTGACACAATTGTTTAGAATCACAGAACCACAGGTTGGAAAGCACCTGAAAAATCACACAGCTCAACTCTCTTATCTAAAGTTTGAATCCTTGTTATGTCTTCCCAGGTAGTCCTCAGCATCTGTAGGCAATTTCAAGAAAAAGAAGCAATTCTTTCAAATGAGCTTAAAATCGATTTCTGACATAGATTTTTTTCCTCTTTACTCAGTTTCTGTCCATGAGGCTGATGAGACAAGATGCCTCTTCCTTCCCAAGAACAGCTCCTTAAAACAGTACCGATGAAGCAAATTGGACCAACCCATGACATATGTGTCTTGGCATTTTTTCCCCATGAAAATGCACAAACACATAACATAAACAAGTGTTAAGAACCACAACTTGACACTACATGAGCTTAGTAGGTTAAAAAGAATAAAAAACATACACAAAGCTGGGAGGGAGAAATGGGGGTGAGGAATGGGGACAGTTGGAGGTGAGAGTGGGGGGTGGATTTGATCATGCACATCAAATTCGTATAGGAACTTCTCAACAAAATAGACATTAAATAAGGGGGGAAAAGGACCACTTCTTTGACTATATAACTTCTTAGAAAACAGAAAAGCTATGGTTCACTCACTTAAGACCAGAGGTTGAAAGAGACCTAGAGAGCTACTTATTGCTCATGGTAGATCCCTAGGTGGGGCCTGAGGATGGAAGGCTCTGGGATTTCAGCCACTCCACAGGCTCCTCCCTGTGAAGGGGATAGAATAGCTGGGAGCAGTGGATGCTGTGGCTCCCTAGACTGTGTGACCACAGGCAGAGAATGGCAGAGAGCATCTTCTCTGGGGTGTAGAGGTCCCACCCAGTTAGCTGTTCTTGGGGTGTCATTACATGTTTTCATTCACTTTGTATTAGCTCAGTCACTGTATTTGTGTGTGGCTGCACTTGAACATGCAGCTTCATGGAGGAGATTTTTACAAAGCATTTTGCATTTGGGAAATGTAATGATGAGAAGAGCCCTTTGAGGAACCTGCAGCTTGGGAAAAGTGGATTACTGCTTGGAGCAAGGGTGCTTCCTGCCTGATACTGTTCCACATCATATTTCTAGGATAGAGTCAATTCTTTTTTACAATTAATTTTTTTTTTTTTTTTTTTTTTTTTGTCTTTTTGAAGCAGGGTCTCCCTGTAGCCCCAGATGTCCTGGAATTCACTATGTAGTCCAGGCTGGTCTTGAACTCACAGAGATATGCCTGCCTCTGCCTCCCAAGTGCTGGGACTACAGGCGCATGCCACCATGCCCAGCTTACAATTTAATTTTTAATACAATATTTATTATTTTTGAGAATTTAGTACATGCATGCAATGTATTTCAGTTATGTTTAGCCCCTAGTCTTCCCTGCTAATTCCTCTTGGACTCCCCACTACCACCACCACCTCCCTCCTAATTTCTATTAAAATTCTTTTTATTTATTATTTTTATTTTATGTGTATTTCTTGCATGAAGGCAGGTACACCTATGTCCTGCATTCCCATGGAGGTCAGGAGAGAGTATCAGATCCCCTGGAATTGGAGTTATAGATGGTTGTTAGCTGCCATGTGGGTACTGGGAATCAAACCCAGGTCCTCTGCAAGAACAGCTGGGGTTCTTAACCTCTGAGCCATTTCTCCAGCCCCCTAACTTCTTTTTTTCCCCCCTTTTCTTTTCTTTTTTAAAACAATGACCACTAGACCACTGGACCACTGAATTCAGTTAGCGTTCCACATAGAGAAATGGGTGTGGGACCATCCATTGGAGCATGATCAACTAATCAGGACGATACCCCTGATGAAAAAACTCTCCCTCCCCATCTGTGAATAGCAACACAGATGGAGGTGGGGCTCTGGTACCCTTCCCAAATCCATGCCATAATGTTGACTGTCTTGATCTAAGACAGTCACTTTCTGTTTCTTAGATAATGTTTTGTGCCAGAAGGGCATTCATGAGAAGGAAAGTTCCTGGCAGTGGTGATTAAATGGAGGAATTGACTGGTCTGAGAACTATTTCTGCCTTTCAAAAGCAGAGCTGAAAAAGCATTTGGAAGAGAAGAACCTGCTATGCTTAAGAAATACACAGACCTAAGGCTGGGTGTAATGCTGTGTACCTTTAATCTCAATACTCTGGAGGCAGAGGTGGGTGGATCATTGTGAGTTTGAGAACAGCCTAGTCTGTATAGCAAGTTTCAGGTCAGCCAGGGCTACATAGTGAGACCCTGCTTTAAAAAAAAAACCAAACCAAAACAAAGCAAAACAATACACTGAATATCTGAGTGACTAAAGGGAACCGTGGGATGGGGAAGAGGACTAACTAAAACTGTAAACATACTGCTTGCTCAGTTTATAAATCTCACCAGCTCTATATCTCAAGTATCTGGCCCTTAGCTTAGTAAATTGCTTTCCTTTTTTTAAAAAAAATTTCATTTATATAATAAATTTATTAATTTTTTATTTTGTGCATGCATGATGCCTGCATGTATGTCAGTGCATCTTTGTTGTGCAGTGCCTATGGAGGACAGAGGAGGGTGTCAGATCCCCTAGAACTGGAGTTATGGACAGTTGTTAGCTACCATGTGGGTGTTGGGATTTGAACCCGGGTCCTCTGCAAGAGCAGCCAGTGCTCTTAACTACTCAGTCATCTCTCCAGCCCCAATAACTTGCTTTCTATGCTTGGCCTTTCTGTGAATTCATTGGTAAATGTTCATCTGTGTGAACCAGTGCGCTGTGTTAGAGAATTGGCATGTAGACACACTCATAAGCACACATGCTGCCGAGAGACATTTCAGGATCATGTACGCTCTCCCTTTTTCCTGTATGCCTTGTCACACTCACTAATTTTGGTAAAATCCTAATATGCAGAGAATGAGAATGTTTTCTTTGTGTCACCGGTCATCACTGATAATTTTCCTGTAGATTGCACATCACACTTAATAGTCATTCTGTAAACAGGTCCCCCATCTTATTTCTCCCCTCATCTGCATTTCCACTCTCTAGATAGCTGACTCATTTGCACTCAAATGTATAGCAGGCATTCTTACCTCCGCTTGCTGGGAATGACACCCATCTCCTCACTGTCCCCATCCAGTGTGACTCTTCTGGCTTGCCACCACTCATCATCGGAGGCGTTAATAACATGGAGAATGTCTCCATATTTAAAACTAAGTCCTTGGCTCGGCAGACCACTGTCCTTGCTCTTGTCATAGTCAAACATGGCTCTGAAAGAAAGGACAAAAGACAGTTTGGTTAGGAAACTCTGATGCCACAGATTTAAATTCATGCTTTTGAACTTGCACCCTTGACCTGAGAACCCTTCACTTATTTGATACCTTTTCCCATCATGGCTTCCTGGATTCTGGTACATAGTTGTCATAATTCTGGTCACAAAGTGAGGCTACTTCTTGCTTTCCTTAGCTCGTTGCAAGGGTGACTTATAGTTCCTTAAAACTAGGGTCTGCTTCTATTTTTCTTTCTTGAAACCATTACAGGTAACAAGGTGGTATTGGAAGAGAAGACACTGAGTATATTACCTAATTGAGGTGTGTTTTCATCCCATTACAATAAGATTTTACATATTAAAAAGAAACAAAATGAAGAAATACGTGGCTGTCTTTCTTAAGATGTCATTCTGTGCGATAACTACACTCTCCAGGATATGACCGTTTACAGAACTCTTTCCTTTACAATCGAGAGAAATGGTGCAAATGTAAAATATCTACCCACAGCGACTGTGGCTCCTCAGACAATGAAATATTGAGTTATCACTGATACTGGACAGTCGAAGGGTTTACTGTAATGAAAAAATGCTTAGAAGTCAGAAAATAAAAAAAAAATCTGTTTATATGTATATGTGTAGACAGATCAAAATCATTTGAACATTGTAACTATTCTAACTGCCATAAAATCCAGGCTTACCGCATCATCAAATTCTCTCTGAATTCTAATTCTTGCTCTCAGTCATGTTTCCCTATGAAAGAGCACCTGCCAAGTCTTTGCCAAGGCTGATGCACTGTGGTTTCTGTGACTGGCATGGCACTGGAGTAGGAAACAGAGCCAAAATGGAGAATTCCAGCTGTCATCAGAGGATGTGACAATTTATTGCAAGTAGACTGCTTACTTCTTGCTAAATTCACCCCCCCATTACTCTTAAAGCCTATCATCACACAGTCCACGATTTCCCAGAAGTAGATTCTACCACCTCCCCTGTGAGGTCCTTTAATTCCACTCCAAGGCTGTCTTTAGACTGTAGCCTCTATGCATGTAAAACAAACAAGCTAGATTTGGAGAATAGATTTTTCTAAAAATCACTGAAGGTCAACTCTGGTTCTTTTCCTTCCTCCCTTTTTTTTCCTCCTGCCTCTGTCAAAGAAATGTCACATCTGCTGTCATGGTAACCACAAAGGGCTGAAGACAGCATTTAACTCTTAAATGTTACAGATGCTGAATTGTTTACAATATGGCCATTTCTGGCACCCTTCACTGAAGAAATTCAGATTTTTTTTTTTTGGTCTAAGTGCTCATAATAATTTTTTTTCATTTTTGACCATCCGCATCTTCCTGTCAAAGGCTTATACAAAGCACATCCCATAAAAGGGGGGTGGGGGTGGGGAAGGACAGAGCACATGCCTGCGGCTAGCAATTCTTGGGCTGTGACATAAATCAATTAACATTTCGGAGCCATATGCTTTTTGGACAAAAAATTATTCCGACTGCTAATATTCCCATACCAGAAATAACACAGCAACACCCAGCCTAAGGCAGGTGCTGTGTACAATAGGAAGCACAGTGGTAAAGATATTGACTCAGGGGCCACACTACTTGAGCCATGAACCACTCTGCCTTAATAGTCATACAGCTGTTACCTGGGCAAGCTGTTGAATCTCCCATAGGCTTCTGCTCCTTGTATATGATATACTACTATGTGGGTGAAATGTCAGATAAGGCAATAGTTACAAAGCACCTACTCCAGTGCCTGGCACACAGTGACTAACAGTAAGTATCAACTACTTTTCCCATCTCTGTTTGTTGATTGCCCTTGGTGGAAATAAGGAAAGTTAATGTATCTGGCCTGAAGCAATTGTCCTTAAAAAGGCCCATTGCAAGGATGTCCCTTTAATTGTCTATTAACTGAACTTAGATTTTTGTAAGAGTTCTCACTAGTTTTGGACAGAGTATTGTGTCTAATTTGTACCAATATCACTGAGGCTGAAAATAAGTGTGGAATAATAGCTTCCAGGCAGAGCTGCCTATGGGACCAGTCCCAAGAACAAACCCTCCAGCCTGAGTCTCCAATGATCTTCCCTGGCAGACAACACTAAGTGGTTGTCACAAGTAGGTGCTAGAGGTAAGAGGCTGTCCCGTGAGCCTCTGAGAAAGGACTTCTAAGCTTGTGCTTCATTCCCTGCATACTTTCTCTATTGGTCCTTTCTCTTTGCGATTTTGCTGTTAAACAATTGTTGTAGCCAGCTGTGGTGGTGCACACCTTTAATCCCAGCACTCAGGAGGCTGAGGCAGGCAGAGCTCTGTGAGTTCAAGGCCAGTCTGGTCTACATAGTGAGTTCCAGCACAGCTGGGGCTACAGGGAGACCCTGTCTCAAAAAGACAAAAAAAAAAAAAATGTTGTTAAAAAAAAATTAGTCCTGAGCTTGACTGTGCTGAACCATGTCTTATTTTAAACACAAGAAAAGGAATCTCAGGAAATTAAGGGACCTGCCCCAGGTCACGTGTACAAGTGTTGGGAGAATGAATATACAAGGAGGGCTGCCTACTCCCACATGCACATTCAGGGGCATTTTACTTTGCAGTGAAAGAGAGAGAGAGAGAGGGAGGGAGGGAGGGGGAGAGAGAGGGGAGGAGGGAGAGAGGGAGGGAGAGGGGGGGAGGGAGGGAGAAAGGGGAGAGAGAGAGGGAGAAGGAGAGAGGGAGGGAGAGAAAGAAGCCTTCATGTGGTAGTCACGAGTTATCTCTAGGGTTAGACTGCCTATGTTTCCTTGAGCAGGCAATTTTGCTTCTCTGGGTCTTAAGTTCTTTTTTTTAATTGTAAAAGAACACCAATCACTTTTAAGAGTTGAGGTGAGAATTAAATTTATTTATTTTTTAAAAATAGTTTGTTATTTGTATTTTATGAGTGTATTGCCTGCATGTGTGTAAGTGCACCTGTGTCGTGCAATGCCCACAGAGGTCAGAAGAAGGTATCGGATTCCCTGGAACAGCAGTTATGGACAATTGTTAACTGCCACGTGGGTGCTGGGAACTGATCCCAGGTCCTCTGCCAGAGGAGTCAGTGCTCTTAACCACTGAGCCATCTCACCAGCCCTGAGAATTAAATTTAAACAAATATAGGCCAGGCGAGGTGGTGCGTGTCTTTAATCCCAGCACCTGGGAGGCAGAGGCAGGTGGATCTTTGTAAGGCCAGCCTGGTCTACATAGTGAGTTCCAGGCCAGCTGGGGCTATAGGGAGACCCTGTATCAAAAA